GGGGGGCCTTGGGCCTTCTTTTGGAAGTTCTGGGTCTCTCTGACCCAGCTGCAATTTGTTAGGTAATTTTCAGATTGCAAAGGGCCAGGCCTTTCATATGCAAAAGCCTCTGTGCACAGCTTGGGGGCGGGGTTGTGTCTCCCTCCAGATTGAAAGAGACAACCGTGTCCTCAGTTGCCAGCCCTTTCCACGTGCGCCTCCACACCTCTGCACTTTACCTCCGCACCTCCTCTGAGTCTCAGTGTGCTTTTCTCTTTCCTTCTAGTTATAGAATTTCCACTTAGCCCCTTCCTGGGACTGTAGTTCAGAGCAGTTGGGAGCTTGAGACTCAATCCCAATTGAAAAAGACAACCGTGTCCTCAGTTGCCAGCCCTTTCCACGTGCGCCTCCATACCTCTGCACTTTACCTCCGCACCTCCTCTGAGTCTCAGTGTGCTTTTCTCTTTCCTTCTAGTTATAGAATTTCCACTTAGCCACCCTTCCTGTGGTTCTGGATGATGTCCATTTTGTCTTTTAGTTGTATTTTTGAAGTGGTGGTGCGAGGCAGCAATTTCTGGTGTTTACCTATGCCGCCATCTTGGTTTCTCATTCCAGTTACTTTGTAGATAGAATTGATTGACTTGAATGGGATGGGCATGGAAAAGGGAATCAAGGATGTTTCAGATTTAGAGACTTAACAACTGAGTGCTTAAGTTCCAAACAAACACAAAATATTGAGAGGGACAGATTTGGGAGGATGGAAGAATTAAGAGTGTGATCTAGGCAATGTGAGGTTTGGGAGGAGAAAAGGGTAGTAAATTGGCCCTAGCTGGTTTGGTTCAATCAATAGAGCATCACCTGCAGACTGAGGGGTCCTGGGTTCAATTCCAGTCAAGGGCACATGCCTGGGTTGTGGGCTCAATCCCCAGTAGGAGATGTGCAGGAGGCAGCTGATCAATGATTTTCTCTCATCATTGATGTTTCTATCTCTCTCTACCCTCTCCCTTCCTCTCTGAAATCAATAAAAAATGTTAAAAAATAAATAAATAAAGCAAGTAAATTGGTCTGAGATGAGGTGGTCTATTGAGCTATAAAGACAACCAAGTGTGTGTTGTAGGTAAAGGAAAGGATTTATGGCATCATACATCATTGAGATATCAGGATAAAAACTGAGAAGGCACCACTGGAGCGGTGAAATGGAGGCCATAGGCCTTCTTACAGAGAGCACAGTCTATGGAGTGCTCAGGACCTAAGTCAGTTTTCAGAAGTTTAGGAAAAAAGCTGAGGTGACAAAATTCACTGAAAGAATTTTCTTGAGAGCACAGGGCTGAAGCCAGAAGGAACATGGGCCAAGGGCAGTTTCTTTGTGAAGCAAGGGGATATGATCATGTTTGTGGCATAGAATGATTTATTAGAAAGAAAATCTTGGGGATTTTTCGGCAGAAAAGAATAGTGATACTGCTGGAGGGTAATTCTTGGAAAGGTGAGACAGAGAGAGGGATCCAAAGCAACCTTGAAGAAGAAATGAACAAGAACTCCTGATTTACTCACTCTGTGAACTGGAATGAATAGGAACTCTAATCACTAAAACAGGTGCAGGTAGATTACAGGGTTTGCTTGAGAGAAAGCTAAAAAGTTCATAAATAACTACTAGCATAGTCTCATTAAAATATGGGGCAAGGGCATCAGGTGAGAGCGGGAATTGAGAAAACATTAAGAAGTTTTAGGAGGAAGCAGAACTGAAACAATTATTTCAAAGCATGAAAATGGGAACATGATGAAGAAACAGAGTAAACTAATAGGAAACTTCTGAAATCTGTGGTCATAAATCCAGTTACCCTTAATAATTTAGACACTGGGCAGGTCACTTCCTCTGCCAGGACCATGGATGGATGATATTTATCAAAAGCAAGGATGGCTTCACAGGATTTTAAAAA